AAAACCGATAGGAAGTGGGTCACGCACTATGTTATCACACTTGATCTCAGTACAATGATATACACAAGTAATGGCTTAATTCAAGAAGAAAAATATTAGCGCAACAAAACTTGTTTATCTTATGGTTAAGAAAATATATTTGATACATTCTCATAAGAATTGAAACGTGATCCGGTCATCAACTAAGTATCTACGTTCTAGATGGGTTTTAAAGTGTCAGTTTCGTTTATAAACTACGGGCTGGCTAAAGATAAACCACACCAATAATGAAGCTTATCAAAATCTAGGAAAGTAACTACGAAACTTTAATAGATCTGGCTACATATAATTATGCTCTGAACTTCAGGTAGATAATTTTCGCTTAGTCTTCTCGATTATGAATTCTCGTAAACAACATTTCATAAATAGTATATTGGTTGAAGTTAGACATTAACATTGCCGGTTCAGTGGTCTAGTTGGTTAAGCGCCTGGCGCGAGACTGATAGGTCCTGGGTTTGAATCTCGCGGGGACGGGATCGTGGATGCGCACTGCCGAGGAGCCCCGTACTAGGACGAAACGGCCGTCCATTGCTTCCAGGTTTTCCATGGTGGTCTAGCTTCAATTGACCCATGATTTCAACTAGTGGAATAGTATATTGTCGACATTTATCATGGTCAACCTGTATTATGCCCCTTTTTTCATGTAAAAACTATAAATACATTAACGTTTTTTTCTTATTGTGCTTCTTACTTACATCTACCCATGTTGTATGGAATATGATTTCGTTCCTGTTCAACTATGTTCTGATTTGGGTAATTGTCGAGTGAATTGGTGTCCCAGAATATTAAGCAATAGGAATAGCTGGGTAGTAATAAGAGAAATTATAACACATTTCATTCTTATATACCAGGCAAGTTTGAATAAATCACATACTATTGCAAAGTTATATGGTCATATAGAACAAAACGTGTAAAATAATTTTGAAACTCAATCTCTAAGGGAATACAAAGAGTAAATGTATTTACGGCGTTCAGATTGGTCCTGAGCTGTTACGCAACCATTAAGTTAACAGAGCAAAAAGAAGGTGAATAATGAAAGGGAAAACATAAGACTAAATAAAAATAAACTGTATTTCATTAAAACAAAATAAAATTACCGATAAATTCAGCACGACGTTCTTTAGTTTCGGCTAACATGGAAGATGGGATAGCATCCTGTCTTACAGTTAAACTATTAGGGAAAAATCACAGTAAGATAAATTGTACATTTTAAATCAAAAGATGTAAGGTTAATAATGTGACACGTTAAACTGTATAGCAACCATAACTAATGACAGATAATACTCCAGTTACATGATATTATTATACTCTTCAGTCAAGTTTACCGACCAATTTAAACAAATTGGTCTTTTCTTATCATAAACCGAGTTTGTCACTAAAATATTAGGAGAAGATCAAATTATTTTTGAACGGAAGCCTGAGTACCATGGAACAACAGGGTGAGAAATCCTAAGACTAAAGATGTATAATAAGTCAGTGGATGAAGCTGAGTTCTCATCCACCGAGGTGTTTGGGATATACATTATCGATGAGCAACTGAAATCTACCCTTGTGCGAGAAAGTAACTGGAGTAGGAATAGGTTGTAAGAGGGATAAAAGGGTTCGAACAATTAAGTTATTGACTGCTAGTCTGAGCCACGTTGGTAGGTTCAGACTATTCAGTCGGGATCCATATAACAATCGTGGTCAATGGTCGAAGATCTTAGATGACATGACTTAAGATCCGTCGCAGTGGCATGGATGAATTCACTCTTCTTGTCTTAGATCTTAAGTGAAATTTACTGTTAGAAAGTTAGTCACATTTCCTCTTTGACCAAGGCTATGTAGATATGTAACTAACTAGTTCACATTCAAATGCTTACACCTCAACGTATTACAACTTTAGAGTCATAGAATAACACGCAACAAAAATTAAATAAATTAATCATAGTTATCACAGATTAGGATGAGTGTACACAAACATGATATTTCTTACCCTTATCAATATTTAACGATAAAATTAAATAAAATCGATGAACCAAACTACTTTACAAAATAAAATGAAAAGTAGTTGCCTTTGATACTACTACTTAACTTTAAATCAAGGATACTAAAACTCCTTAGTTCATTCATCAACAATAACAATAAAAAATTGTAGCACAATAGTTCAATGGGTGAAAATTTTTCATATTCTGTTTAGTAGAACAAGATACAACAGCTAGAAAGTAAATGAATTCTAGTAAACAAGAAAACATGGGATGGTGACTTATCCACTGAACGGTTCGGGTTCCAATTCTATATACTTTGTTTTAAGTAGCTGAGTAGCATTACTACTCCTTAGACAAACAATGGGATTGGACAGGAGTGAATGGACGTATACTTGATGAGTTACACTATGGTAAGATATGTCATCATATCAATGAGATCAACACTATTTCATGGTTTTCAGTTGTTAACGCGTTTAACCTTAAGAATCACGTTCTGGTAGTCCGCAGTTTTATAAACGATTGAGGCTGATAAATAATGATTTCATACGGAGTTGAGCAACGCACTTTGTATGACGACCGGTGACGCTACTCCCCAGCTAAAACCTAAAGCAAACGGGGAGGGGTCCGTATCAGTAACGGTTAAAAGTTGACCACTAAATTACAGCACTAAGTGAGAGAATACAAAATATTTATTAAAACTAAGGAGGGTGTTAGCGGGACATAGACTGGATTAAAGCATGCTCAATGCACATACTTAGTGAACACTAGAAATCTCATGTGAAAAAACTATAAATATACTAACGTTTTCCCTATTGCATTTACTCACTTCCATCTAACTTTGTTATTTGGAATATAACCTCTTTTCCTAAACAACCGTGTTCTGATTTGAGGACTTGTCGAGTGAATCAGTGTCCGAGAATACTAAGCAATAGGAATAGTTGGGTTATAACCCTAAGAGAGAATTATAACAGAGGGGAATGCAAAAACTGATGAGAAAAAATCTTTACTCAAACACTTACCCAAACGGTTCATCAAAATAAACAACTGTCTCACTAATCAAGTCAATTATTCCTGTACTTTTTGGCTCTTGACATATGGGTATATTAATAAAAGCTGAATTGAAGTTAAGCTTTGACCTAAACAAAAATCGGTGAGAAGGAAAGGAGTATATGTATTTACAATATAAATGGCATTTAGATAATTAAACAAGTGAATTTGAATAATTTTCGATCGGATTTGGGTAGACATTGAGACTAAACATTAATCGTCCACTAGTCAATATTTCAAAGTGATGTTACTTTAAATGGCATCCAAAGGTTATTGTATACACATACCCTAAGTTAGTACACTAAGATTGGGAATTAATGAAACGAGAAGCAAAGGATAAAAATTAGTTTCGACTAAAATGCGAATAAGAACGTGAAAAATAGTTTTAACGGAATAAACGAAACAAATGACTGAAAACCTAGGAATGGCATAACTAGTGCTTTGGGAGAAGACAGAAGAATGCGATTCGGTTAGTACAATCGATATTGAGTCATGTAACTCAAAAATTGAGAGTATTGTAGAGACCCAAACCAGGAGGTCTGCACCTAACGATAAGGCTTGAACTAGTAGTCAGTAATTTCATACAATAACCATTTTATGTCATCTGCCAAGTGTTTTAATATTTAGTTTGTTTATTTATTTGCAAATTTCCTGTAATTAGAAGTGAACAATTTCTACAGCTAAATTTCTATATAAAGATAATCGAACAAACTCAATAAATCGGATGCATAACGACAACACTATTATCATGATTATGAACGAACTATGGTGTAGTTATTGTTGACAGAGAATTGTGTCAATAGAGTCAAGTTACTTTTGCATGGTTCATTAAGATTCTCAATAGTTTATTCAAAAAAGGATCTATTTAACGCATACGTATTCCTTCAGGTGCGATGAGTTCATACTTCCTTTTGTGCTAACTATTGATGCAGCTAATCTTTTGTCAACTGTGACAGTCATAATCAGCGTAGAGCGCGGAACAAATATTTAATTTCACGAGTTGGCATATTATGTTAGTACGACGAGAGGAAATTAACAAGTCGAAATAATGCATTAGTAATGATAATGAGAAAGACTAAACATCGATAATACGGTTCGAAAACTGAATGAAAAGGTATACATGAAGGAATACTAAAACTCAAGATTCAGATGAAAATAAAAAGTGGACGAACCTAAGCCATTGTAACCAATCCTAAGTCATTTCATCTACCATCTTCAATCACTGATAGCAACTATCGCAGTGACCCCAACTAGGGGATCCAGACATATCTATATGGCTCAAACTAGTGGTCAATGACTACAATTTTCGCCAGATTTGTCACATTTAACTAACACCCTAAGCTTAACCTCAACATTACACACTCAGTTGCTCCATGGGACGCGAGCAACATTTCGAAGACATCTATCATCAAAAACCTGCAGCTTATGCATGCCTCCAACTTCTAAAGTCCAAGTTACATGCCCATAAAGTGATTAATCAGCTCTACTTTTACTGAATCAAATACTAATTTCAAATTAGCTTGATATACGAAATAAGTTATATGAACTGGGTTCAGAATTCTAGTCGCGGACCATTACAATAACATCCTCCTTAAAACATTTAAGAATGGTTTACGAAGTTTCCTCTCGTAAAAAGATTTATTTCAATGACGGTGAACTGTATTGGCACAAGCTATCGTTTATTCAAATATGGCCTAAATTGCACTCGATTCTCTGTGTAACTGATTATTCTGAACCAGTACAGATAGGAAAACCAGTAAATAATAATTCACTATATTGGTAGATTCTACAACTACGATCCGGACAATAAGTTGTGGAGTTAGAATGTGATTAGTTTACAAGTTGCTGAAACAGTGATAATCAATTAAAAACTAGATAAAACTAGCAAATTTATGAAGCTTGGTCTTAGGAATCACCTTATTTGATTAAGAACTCGAACATGATCTGCACCTTGGCGATCAAGTTTGTTAATAAATGCGATTCGAGGTATATTATAACGATCCATTTGCCTAGTCACTGTGATTGTTTGACATTGGACTCCACCGACAGCACATAATACTAGAACTGCACCATCAAGTACTCGAAGAGCTCTTTCAACTTCGACTGTGAAATCTACGTGACCGGGTGTATCAATGAGATTGATAGTGCAATCTTTCCACATTGTAAAGGTTGAAGCAGATTGAATTGTTATTCCACGGAGTCTCTCTAGCTCCATTGAGTCCATCACAGCACCAACTCCATCTTTGCCTCTAACCTATATCAAAAGCGTCATTTTTACAAAACATACGTAAACTTTATATGCAACTATAATTAACCGATATTTATTCATCATACCAGTAATTCAAAAATAGGCTAATATTATAATATATGACCAAGATAAAACTAATAATAGCAATGATAAGGATACTATATAGTACGTTGTGGATGGGAATGAATAAAATCAAACCTAATCGCACTTCTTAATACAGCATACTGTTAATGGAGAACATAACAGTAATAGATTACCAACTATTAGAGAGCTGTACTGTGATCATGTGTTTGTTCCGTATACTTGCATTGTAAGGAGACGTATACAGCCGTAAAATAAAGGATGTCAATATTATAATATCCAGTATTGGATCCCAAAGATTGTACAACTCATTAGATTGATTTTAAAGGCAACTACAATTTATGGATGAACTAATAGAATTAAGAATAGCGTCTTGGACTTCAGCACACACTCCGTTCACTCCTATAGTTAAATAGCATTTTGAAACCATAGCTGATATCAGTTCGCGATGAAAAACTTTACTTCAACTTCTAACTCTAAATACAAACTCGAAATCCTAATTTCTCATACTAATTTACAGCCCTCTTTAGATCTTTGTAAGTAGGTGGGCTGCCTTGAGATCTTTTCAGCGTCGCTCAAAGGTCGTCTATAAATAAGTCTCATTTGAGATTAGAAATAATATGACACAGAAGCCAATGGTTATATTGTAAAAGCTTTAGAATATATTCTCCATTAAAAGACAACGTAGTTTGCAACTAAATGCAATCCACGCTAGGTACGTTTTCATTCAAACTGCATTTCCTAACAGATTCTAGAAAGAGTTTGCTCATACACAACGGGCACGGTAATAGTTACCATTATACTATTGATGGTACATCTCTTCCACGCGTTCACCCTCTAGCACTAATAATCTCCGACATCATAGCAAGAAGGTTCAAACTGCGATCTAATAAACTTAAAGTGGGTCCCGTTTTTCTCATCGAGTAGTCAATGACTGGAACGCCTTACCCAAGCAAGTGATATCAGACCCATCAGTGAATAGTTTCAAGGAGCTGGACCTTCACTGGAAGGTAATCTGTTAGGATTGACACAGGCTCACCAACCTAATATCCTTGTTACTGAAGACTAAGTCAGTGTTCAAGTGATTTTATTTACTCATCCCATGGTTGCAAGTTTCCCAGATCTATATTTCTTTAAAAATATCGGGAAGCCTGTGCGTTGTAGGTACATGCTCAAGGGGGCGAGAATCTAATTTATGGACAAGCCAATCAGAGGCGTTTAAGAGATTTTAAGGTTACGACTCCAACTTCTGGCATTATAACTGATGTCAGTTCGTGATGAAAACCCCATATATAATTCCTAAGGCAAATTACGACAATTATTGCGAACTGGATAATAAAAAAACAGTAACACTGGCTGCAGCCAGGTATGCCAAAAGTTTGAACTCACTTCGTGCATCTCTTTTATTCTGTTGGTGTAGAAAAGAATTCTTTCGGAAAGTGTTGTCTTCCCACTATCAATGTGTGCAGATATACCGATATTACGAATTTTGGAAAGGTCCGAGACATTCTAGACAAAAGCTGTACTAAAATACTAGTTTACATTATTGGTTGATATGTTTCTTAAAATAACTGGAGGGGCCTTCAGTAATGCGCGTATAGCACGCACAACATGAAGCATACTGATGACCTTCAAATGAAACTAGGCGCTTTCGTTTTCAAATGGATCTGGACGAGTAGAAGAAGCTTTCTCTTAACGGCTTCCGCATCTAGTAGCGGTGAATCAGCGATACCTTCAGTTTAGCACGAAAGTAAATTAACGATAAAAGACGAAGAAGAAAAAAACTTGGTAAGTTATAGTAAAATTCTGTCCTTAGTTCATAGAGAAATATATCAAGTTTTCTTCAAAAGGACTCCTGGGAAGTCACTTAGACTACCTCAGACGTTAGCGATTTCCGGAATTTGACTGCTCTCGAGTACTAAAGTGCGAGCCTACAGTCGGTTGGTGCATGTTGTGTTCCCAGTTCCTGGGTGTTACTCCTAGGCTTTGTGTTGCGACTAAGCTTAAGTAGGTGTTTAAGAGGACGGTCAGAAGTACTTAGGATTCTCTACGTCATTGAAAGGTCACCCCTAAGACGCCCGTTCTCTAACAGGGAAAGATCCAGTGGTTAGAGCTGCTCTTCATGAGACTTAAATTTCAGTCATTGGACCGGTTTCGTGGCTCGTCGTTTGAGTACGTTCCAGTGTATTCTTATCCTTTTCAGATGAGGGGGGAAACACTATGTTTCCATAGATGGGGACAAATAAAACTACTGAAGGTTGTGTGGGAAATCCTTCCATCGAACTGACCGAAAATGCGCTTGAACATTACCAGTGCAAGATTTACTCGGAAGGCATTTTGGTCGTCAAACCAAGAGAAGTGTCTTATTAGGTGATGCAGCTTCCGATATACCGAGTCAGAGCTTAGGTTCACTTCGGAAAGTTATGTGGAGTTACGGATGAAGCTTTATCTGGTAGTGAAGCCTGTCTTCTCTTATTGTGTTTTATACAGACATTACTTATTTGTTTGAATCACCTGTATGTGCTGTTGTTACCAGTTCATTTGTCAATGAATCGGCATTTCCAATCATGTATGGAATCAAATTCTCTTAACACAACCAGATTATTCATAATTAATGACAGCAATGTAGATGACCCCAATATTATTTGTAAACAATTCAAGCACCATCTCCTGGGGTGCTTCATTACGGAAAACGGAACCACTATCGACGCACTAACAATATTGACAAATAAGCATGTACCTGCAGTCGATTTTACACCTATCAATATCAACCAGGTGTGAAGATGGAAGTGCTAATCTGATGGTATTTCTGCATCATTTGTGGAGTAGGGTGGCAGAGAATGTCCATTATTTCGGTTGTAACTCTTCAACCTATCCATGGGCAATGGTACCTATCGATTTATATGGAAAGTATTTCTTATCATATATAGATTCAAACGGGATTACTTGGTGAAATAGTTAAATATAGGGTCACTTACTTGACATCCGTACTCTCAAGAACCATAAAAAACAGCAAAATGCCATTATCATTTTAACTTTCAGGAAACCTGATTAACCCATTTCAACATGGGTTTATGACTACACGCTCATGCTTGACATCACACTTGGGGTTTTTCGGCCACATTACCCAACGAAGAGATGGTGGTTGATTGATGATAATTTTATGCTTTGAATTTATTAATCTCTTAGACAGTGTCTCACACAATTTCCTTCTTCTAGAATTTTCATTATTTGACATGCGCTGTCTTTTATCCTGGCTCAAATCGTTTTACGACAGCATGTAGTAGAATCGTTTATTTTGGATCTCGCTACTCTAAGCTCATGATTACAGCCAGTGGGGTTGCACATAAAGTGACTTTGGCACATCACTCTTCCTCCTTCTGATTATTTACGTGTGTTTACTCTTCCAATATGGGAAACCACCCCTTTTTGTCGATGACCTAAATGTGGTTTGTTCATTCTGGTCAGTTACCAAAGAAGGCTGTATTTCAGCTGTAACCGAAGATGACACAAAGAAGGTGCACGAGTGGGCTTATTATTATATTATATTATAATCACATTATTTATTTACATATCTGGTTCTGCATAATATGGAAAGGCATGAATTACGGAAAAACGACCACTCCATGCCGAATAATTGTTCCTGCGTTCGCCATTGCCAACCTGCTCCAAGTATTGGGTGCCAAATACCAATCTTCTTATTAATTATGTGATCAGTTTAGAGAGTCGTGTAGTTAGGAACCAATACCACTACATTACTCTCCCACTAGAACCAAAGTGAAGTTGGTTCGATACCAAGTCAAGTGGAATTTTTACGCTCTGGAGGCTGTCAAAAGAAAGATAAAAATCCTCCGGGTACTGATAAGCTGAAAGATAAATCGAAAAGAAAACGGCATGGACTAGCCGGGAATCATATGTAATAATTTGGAGATGTCTGGTGAAATGCTTAACACGCTTCAATTGAAAATCCTCGTGAACATTATTTAAACGTCAGGTAAATTGGGAAAGTAATTTAGTTTAGAAATATTTTAACAAGTCACATTAAGATGCATAATAACAGTTCTTTGCACTTAATGACAACTCTTGTAGAACCATTCCAAACTATTGCTGCTCAAACGATCATTTTGCCCCCGAATCTTATTACATTAAAGATTTATTTTTTTATTTACTTATTTTTTGATTCATTTTGTAATACATACATTGTCATTCACGCTTATCCAGTTTTACAAACGCACTTGTTGAATTGTTTACATATTTTACTTTTCTTTCCCTCACTTTTCTCCTGCTTTTCTCTAAAGTCAACCCAACATTCCTCTAGGTTCCACAGAACTGGTTTAATACAGCAAATGTTATTTGAAATATATTGGGACTTGTGTATGATTGCATTTTTGAAGGAACCTGAAGTGGTTTCTTCACAACACCTGTGTACCAAAAAGCTGTTTTTGGGCAATAAAAATTGTTACTTATATTTTCTCCATCTCAACAACCCACACATACCGGTTATCATCTTGACTAGATTAATTATTCTGATCTTTCTGGTCCTTTTCTCATTTATATATGACCTTTAGAATGTGTGTGTTGTCAATGTATATGTCAATATATATTTGCTTGTATCTGCCGCTCTCACAAATGTTGAGTCACGTTGAATTGTTGCCTTTCTTACTACCTGTCTAAGTAAATAAATTCCCAGAATATACTCCTTCAACTCAACTTGTGACAGCATCGGGCAATAAGATTAGCCTACGTCTAAAATACAGAGTAAAAAGGAAAAATGATTTATCCTACTTTATCCATACAACCGTTCATCGCCATGCGTCATAAAATCAAACCAGATGGTTAATCTTTCAGCAGTTTCCTCCAATGTTTTCTGTTCTGTTCCTCAATTAAGACTCAGTCCCTGAACACAGTTGAAGGGACGATATACTCTTGTTATTTGAAGGGCTGTAATTATCATCAGCACTGTCACCAGGTATTTCAGAGTACAGCTTATAACCTGATGCAATCCGCATCAATCATGGTCATTTATAGAGCAAAATAGAAGTTATAGGGCATAACAACCACGCAGATTGACTGGCTGTTCAGCATCAGCCCAAAATCTCTCTTGAATTCAGTTAGCTCACACTGATTCTAGGGCTGCCTATGCCTAAGGTTCTGTTGGAGGCCTGTTCAACAACAATCAGTCTCACATTGATGACTTCTTTCAATGGGGTTGTATAGTATTCTAATTATAGTATGAATTAGGAATTCCAGGATTAACGCAATTGAATTAAGAAGACACAGGCACAACGAATGTACTGTATTTAGAATTCGAAATCAAACATTCAACCAGTACAAAGGTATCATTGGTTCATTCAAACACCACATCCGCCACAGCTTAAATTGGAGTCTAGGTGTTTGTAATCAATCGTACGTCTTCTTCTCAAATTCATCCTGAGTCTGTCTGACATTGTATTGGATAAGGATTCTGTATTATCTGGTTCCTGAAATTGTATTTGATCTACATGTCGACTGTGTGTACTTAAGTCATCGATGTCTAGAATTCGCACCATCGATTTTCCGACATTCTTCAGAACAATACCCGTAGATGGTCGAAGATCATTTCCTCGATAGTATGTAACCTCTGCAGACTCCAGACATCTCATATTCGACCGAAGAATTCTTCCTTTCAATAGCTTCGCTGGAGTCTCCTTCGTCACCGAATGCTTGGCATTTCTATATTGCAATAGAAAGGTATCTACTCCCCTCTCCAGCTCATTAAATGTTGAGGGGGCTATAGAATCAATAGCAGTCTTTAATGTCCTAACAAAATTCTCTGCCTGACCATTAGAACACGGATGTCTGGGAGCAGTAAATAGATGTTTGCACCCTATACCGTTCAACCAGGTAGTGACTGCATCTGCAGCAAAATGTGAGCCATTATCAGTCACCAACACCAAGGGAACACCTTCTCGACTAAACACCTTTCTTAATGCTTGTATTGTGAAATCAGAATTTGGTGAAGTTGTGAAAAAACTTCAGGCCACTTTGAAAAAGAATCAATGACTACTAGTGCGTAGTATTTACCAAGAAATGGTCCACAATAGTCAGCATGAATTCTCTGCCAGGCCTCAGACGATACTGGCCATGGCACCCACTTCGAAGGATGATTTTTCAACTGATGACATTTCTCACAATTGTTTGCCGTACGACATATATCTGCATTTATCTCTGGCCACCAGCATGTGAGCCTTGCCAAGGACTTCATTTTCTCAACACCTAAATGACCACTATGAAGATCTTCAAGAACAGATTTACGCAATGAAGGAGGAATGACAACACGATCGTTTAAACACAGAATACCATCAGGAGTAGTAGATAACTCATCCCGCTTTGAAAAATAGATAGGAAATCTCCGTTTCAAATTAGCATTCCAACCTTTCCTTATAGCACTGAGTATACATCCAAAATATCTACGAGTTTCTCTAATGAGATCTGAACGTCTCACTGGTAAAGGTTGCACTAACAAACAATCCGAAGTATTAATAGGTTTATCTTGTAATGACTGTCGAGAAATGTAATCAACATGTTGAATCTGTTTGGCACTTCTGTGCTGAACCGTATAGTCATATGCACTCAAAGCAATACTCCATCGCTGAACCATAGCTGCTGAGGAACGTGCTAAGGATTTTTCGG